GCTGGCATTCCATTACTTCAGTGCCCACGTGTGGCTTGCCAGCGGTCTCTCCAGCAGGAACCCTGTGAAAGTCACAAGCGCCACCACGCAGCCCCAGTTGGGGCCCAGGGGGTGTCGAAATATGTTCTGCATCGCGTTCGCCACCATCTCCATGTGGTTACTCTGACATTGGCGGTAGCAGGTCCAGGAGAGCTGGTAACACTCCTGTACCTGGGAGGCGATGGAGCGCATCACGGTGGCCTCAAGTGAGGATGTAGGGTTTGAGGTGCTGCTGGGCCTCTGGGTGCAGTACTCCAGGTAGTCAGTCAGCAGCCGGAGGGTGCACAACCTCAATTGGTCCTCCATGGCCTGGTGTCTGCTCAGGTCCTGGCCCCGCTGGCTTTCTTGGTCTAGTTGCACCTCTGCTCGGGGAGGGGCTATCTCTATGAGTCTTTTTCTGTTTGTGTGTGTTTTTTTAAAATTCAATTTGATAGACATGTTTTTGTTGCCATTTATTGTTCATATTTTAGACTTCTCTTTTTCTTAAAAAAGACCTCTGAACATTTCTAATAATACTTTGATTTGGTGGTGATGAACTTTTTTAGCTTTTTTTTGTCTGTGAAACTCTTTATCTGTCCTTCAATTCTAAATGATAGCTTTGCTGGGTAGAGTGATCTTGGTTGCAAGTCCTTTTCATCACTTTGAATATTTCTTGCCACTCTCTTCTGGCCTGCAGAGTTTCTGCAGTCTAATGGGAGCTCCCTTGTAACTAACTGCTTTCCACTTACTGGTTTTAAGATTCTCTGTTTCTCTTTAACCTTTAGCATTTTAATTATTACAAGTCTTGCTGTGGGATTCTTTGGATTCATCTTGTTGGGGACTCTATGCACTTCCTGGTCTGGCATGTCAATTTCCCATACCAAGTTAGGGAAGTTTTCTGTTATTCGTACTTTAAAAATAAAGAAAAACCCACAATTTTTATTGATTCAGCTGACAGAAGGTGATAGCAAGGTTTAGAGTAGTAGACAGCAAGGCTGTGATTGAAAAATACACAAATTAAAGAATTAATAAAATTGGGTGTTGGTTGCTAACCACTAAGACAGAGATCAAAATGGGATGTGGGTAGAATGATGAATATTTCATTATTATTATCATTGATTTCAGAGAGGAAGGGAGAGGGAGATACAAACATCAATGATAAGAGAGATTCGTTGATTGGCTGCTTCATGCATGCCCCCCACTGGGAGTTGAACCGTGTGACCTCTTAGTTCATTGGTCAACTGACACTCAATCATGCTGGCCAGGCTCATTATTATTTTTTTTTCAGTGAGGCGGGGGGTGGAGAGAAAAGGAGAATCTGGGTTCATTATTATTTTTAAAAAATATTTTTATTGATTTCAGAGAGGAAGGGAGGTGAGATAGAAACATCAATGATGAGAGTCATTGATTAGTTCCCTCCTCTACTGGGGATGGAGCCTGCAACCTGGGCTTGTGCCCTGACTTGGAATCGACCTACAACTTCCTGTTTTGTAGGTCAATGCTCAACCACTGAGCAATGCTGGCCAAGCAACATTTCATTTTTTGTTAATTGAAGTATATTTTTATTGATTTCAGAGAAGAAGGGTGAGGGAGGGAGGGCTAGAAACATCAATGATGAGAGAGAATCATTATTGATTGGCTGCCTCCTGCATGCCCCCCACCCCCCACTGCCCCCTGGGGATCGAGCCCACAATCTGGGCATTTTCCCTTGACTGGAATTAAACCCAGGACCCTTCAGTCCACAGGCTAACACTCTGTCCACTGAACCAAACCAGCTAGGGCTCATTATTTTTTTAAAATTTGTTTTTATTGTTGAAAGTATTACAGGTGTCCCCATTTTTCCTCGTGCCCCCTTCACCTGGCTCCCACCCCATCAGAGTCCTTCGCTGCACTATAAGTTCTTTGGTTAATCTGTTCCCACTTCCCTACCTCCTTCCCTCTGAGAGATCTGTCAGTTTGTTCCATGCTTACATGTCTCTGGACCAATTTTGATCGTCAGTTTATTTTGTTTATTGGATTCCACATATAAATGAGATCATGCAATCTTTGTCTTTCTCTGACTGGCTTATTTGTATAATATTCTCCAGGTTCATCTATGCTGTCTTAAAGGGCAAAATTTCCTCATTTTTTACAGCTGCATTGTATTCCATTGTGTAAATATACCACAGCTTTTTTATCCACTCAACTACTTATGGGCAGATTGGCTATTTCCACATCTTAGCTTTTGTAAATAATGCTACTATAACATAGAGGTACATACTTTCTTTCTGATTGGTACTTCAGGATTCTTAGGATACATTTCCATCAATGGGATCGCTGGGTCAAAAAGCAGTTTCTCTTTTAAACTTTTGAAGGAACCATACGTTTTTCCACAGTGGCTGCACCAGTCTATATTTCCACCAACAGTGTACAAGGTTTCCCTTTTTACCACATCCTCACCAGCAATTGTTTGTTGATTTATTGATGGTAGCCATTGTGCCTTGTATGGGGCTGTATGTCATTGTAACTTTAATTTGCCCACTTCTTTTTTGTTCCGCTTTGCTTGTAAAATTTTATTCCATCCCTTCATTTTCATCTGGTGTGAGTCTTTTATTCTGAGGTGGGTCTACTTGGTTTTCACTACTTTAAGTATTTCATGCCACTTCCTTTTGACCTGTAGTGCAGGGTTGTTTCTTTGTTTTGTTTGTTTTTGAGAAATCAGCTGACAGCCTTATGGGAGCTCCCTTGTAGGTAACTAACTCTCTCCCTTTCTACTTTTAAGATTCTCTCTTTGTCTTTAGCATTTCCTATTTTAATTATGATGTGTCTTGGTGTGGGTCTTTTTGGATATTCATCTTGATTGGGACTCTATGCTTCCTGAACTCGTGTGACTTTTTCCTTTGCCCGGTTAGTTCTGTCATTTCTTCAAAGAAGTTCTCTGTCTACTACTAATTTTCTACCCCTATTATGTGGATGTTGAGCCATTTCATGTTTTCCCAAAGTGCCCTTAAAACTGTCCTATGCTTTTTAAGTGTTTTGTGTGTGTGTTTTTTATCCTCCCTGAGCATATTTTTTCCGTTGAATTTTAGACAGAGTAGAAGAGAGGGAAAGGCAGAGAGAAATATCGTGAGAAAAACACATCAATTGGTTGCCTCCTGCACAAGCCCTGAGCAGAACCCTGGCTGGGGAGGATCCTGCAACTGAGGTATGTGTCCTTGACCAGAATCGAACCCAGAACCCTTCAGTCCACAGGTTGACGCTCTATATCCATTGAACCAAACCGGCTAGGGCTTAGTGTTTTTCTTTTTGCTGCTCTAATTGAGTGGGGTTTTTTCTTTGTTGTCATCCTAATAGCTGATTTCGATTCTCTGCTTCATCAACCTTCTTATAATCCTTTCCAATGTATTCTTGAGGTCAGAAATAGTATTTTTCATTTCTGACTTGTTCTTATTCATGGTTTCTATGTCCTTTTCCATGCTGATGTTGTTCCCACTAAGTTCCTTATAGTTCTTCCTAAGTTCCTTGAGCATCTGTATAGCCATTACTCTAAACTCTATTTCTGGTAAATTGCTTAACTCCATCTCATTTAGTTCTTTTTGCGGAGATTCTTCCTTTAGTTTGGGGGTTGTTTCTTTGTTTTTGTTTAATAGAAGTGCTGTGACTCCTGGTCTTGTGGGTGGTCTTTTGTTGTAAATGTCCTGCTTGGCCTAATGGTGCATTCTCCTTGAACTCCAGAGCTGGATGCTCTAGCAGCGGTTCTCAACCTGTGGGTTGCGACCATCGGAAAACACATATAGCATATCAGATATTTACATTACGATTCATAACAGTAGCAAAATTACAGTTATGGCCCTGACCGGCTTGGCTCAGTGATGGAGCGTCGGCCTGCGGACTGAAAGGTCCCAGGTTCGATTCCGGTCAAGGGCATGTACCTTGGTTGTGGGCACATCCCCAGTAGGAGGTGTGCAGGAGGCGGCTGATCAGTGTTTCTCTCTCATCGATGTTTCTGACTATCCCTCTCCCTTCCTCTCTGTAAAAAAATCAATAAAGTATATTTTTAAAAAATTACAGTTATGAAGTAGCAACGAAAATAATTTTTTAAAAAATATATTTTATTGATTTTTTACAGAGAGGAAGGGAGAGGGATAGAGAGTTAGAAACATCGATGAGAGAGAAGCATCGATCAGCCGCCTCCTGCACACTCCCCACTGGGGAAGTGCCTGCAACCAAGGCACATGCCCTTGACCGGAATCGAACCTGGGACATTTCAGTCCACAGACCGATGCTCTATCCACTGAGCCAAACTGGTTTTGGCCGAAAATAATTTTACGGTTGGGGGTCACCACAACATGAGGAACTGTATTAAAGGGTCGTGGCATTAGGAAGGTTGAGAACCACTTCAGGAGTGTCTGTTTTGTGGGTTATTTGGGCTCTTGCATTGTAACTGGGTCTTGATTGTTGTCCCTCTTGTGGGTTGGATCTCCTCTCATGCTGGTAACTGTGAGGGAGGGAGGCCAGCATATCAAGAGATATTGACATATCAAGTAAGATAAGGCCAAGATTTAAGAGCAAGGAGTTGTAATTTCGTGAGTGTTATTTCAATGAATTGGAAAGGGCAGAAATCAAAATGAAGTATGTACAGAGTAGGAGGTAAGAAAGTTGAAATAGTAAAAAGAGATAGCTCTTTGATATAGTTTATTAGAGATGGTGAAGACAGAGGTGCTGACTAAGGAGGGTATGAAGTACACTTCTTCCATGGACTCTAAGTACTTTGAGAGTAGGATAATGTCCTATTAACTGTGGTATTTCATATTTCAGCTTGTCCATTTGCTAGAGCAAATTCCAGATTGTAAGTTACCTGAGGACAGAAACTCTCTAATTTTTCTTATACACAGAACCTGACACATAATATGTCATAAATAAATAGTTGAATGAATCAAAAAGATATATTTTCTTCTCTCTTTCTATTAAAAAGTAAAATAATCTTTCTTTTTTTCTTATAGATTAAGCATATGATGGCTTTTATTGAACAAGAAGCCAATGAAAAAGCAGAAGAAATAGATGCAAAAGTAAGAATTCATGTTTCTAGGTTTAAGAAGTTATAAAGTTTTATGTTGTTTTGCTTTGTTAAATAGTAAGTAGTGAAATTGTTTAACTGCATTGCATGGGACTAATAAGAATATCTCTTATAGGCGCACTCTCCCTCCAGGGAGCTCACCCATGCCATTGTGCATGCACGCACGCACACATACACACACCCCGCACATATATCCTAATCTCTAAGGGACCCAATCAGACTTGCAACAAGGTGAGCAATGGGCAGCTACAGCTCGTCCTGGGCTAACCACTTGAACCTGTCTCCAAGACTCCCTTTTCTCTGACTTCCCAGTGAGTCAAAGCAGCTCAGCCTAGGCTCTCCTGTTGCTTCTTCTATGCCCTTCCTTGTTTAACTGTCATAAATATGTTTGTGCTGCGGTCAAGAAATCTTGTTTGCTTTAAAAAAAAAAAAAAAAAAAGGAATATCTCTTATATTTAACATTAAAAGTAAATTTCCTGCCCTGGCAGGTGTGTCAGTACTTACAGTGTCGGCCCACATACAGAAGGGTTGCGGGTTTGATTCCTGGTCAGGGACAAGTTCTTGGGTTGCAGTACCTGAGTTCCAGGTTCAGTCCTCAGCCCCGGTCTGGATGTGTGCAGGAGGCAACCCATCAATGTGAGAAGGGCACATTGATGTGTTGTTGTTTTTTTTCTCTTTCTCTCTCTCTCTATCCCTCTTTCCTCCCACTCTCTATCTCTAAAAATCAATGGAAAAATATCCTCAGGTGAGGATTAAATAAAAAAATATTCCTTTCAAAACATTCTGATTGCCATTAAGTATCCTGAAATTTTACGGTAGGGATTTGAAAAGTAATGGTGGGGGATAAAAAACACATATACCTTAGTGGAGAATTCCAACTGATTTATGTAGATAACTTCCTTCTGCAGGAAATTGGAGATTAAATCTTTTCCCCAACTACCATCCTCATCAGAGTGTGGGCTGAACTTAGGAACCAACTTCCAAAGAATAGAATATGGAAAAGGCAAAAATATTCATTTTATGGTGGAGAAATATGACTTAACCAATTTTCTCACAGTTAACATCATAAGGGATGTGGAGAATTCATCAGGTTACCGGTTTATATGATAGGAAGAGAATACTTCATCTATGTGGTATTTTCCGTAAAACCTTTAACACCAGCCTAATCTATCTACACTAATAAAAGAGAAACATGGTAATTAGTGTCACTCCGCTACCCTTCCCATTGGCTAATCCCCCTGTCACTCACAGAGTAGGGCCGAGATATGCAAATTAACTGGCAGCCAAGATGGCGGCCGGCAGCCAGGCAGCTGATGCGAACAGGGAGGCTTGCTTGCTTCAGTGACGGAGAACTCCAATGTTCCCCGCCTGACTTGCCGGCCTCTCAGCTGCAACTCTCAGCAACTATGTTGCGAATAAGGAAGCTAAAAAAACCCCAGAAACCTGCTTTACTCAGTGGAGCTTCAGCCAGCCGGACCGCAACATTGTATCAAATACAGACGGTAAACAAAGGCCAGAAACCTGTTTTCAGCAGCCGAGGCCTCAGAGCTAAAGCTGGCCCAGAATAAAAAAAATAAAACAAACAAACAAAAAAAAAACAAAAACGGAGCAGTTGGGAGCTTCAGTCCCAGCCTGAAAACAGCCCTCAGCCAGACTGGCCAGGCACCCCAGTGGGGACCCGCACCCTGATCCAGGACACCCTTCAGGGCAAACCAGCCAGCCCCACCCATGCACCAGGCCTCTATTCTATATAGTAAAAGGGTAATATGCCTCCCAGCACCGGGATCAGCGTGACAGGGGGCAGCGCCCAAACCCCCTGATCGCCCTGCAGCTCTGTGTGTGACAGGGGGTGGGGCCCCAACCCCCCCGCCCCCCACGGGCCCTGCTCTGTGTGTGACGGGGTAGAGCCATAACTTCCCCATTGGCCCTGCCCTGAGTATGAGAGTGGCGGCGCCCCAACCACCTGATCGGCCCTGCTCTGTGGGTAATAGAGGGCGGCGCCCCCCCCCACCCCCCATGGGCCCTGCTCTGTGTGTGATTGGGTAGAGTCATAACCTCCCCATCTGCCCTGCCCTGAGTGTGACAGTGGCAGCGCCCCAACCCCCTGATCGGCCCTGCTCTGTGGGTGATAGAGGGCGGCGCCCCAACCCCCTGATCCGCCCTGCCCTGAGTGTGACGGGGCGGTGCCCCAACTCCCCTATCGGCCCTACTCTGTGAGTGACGGGGGGAGCTCCTCAACCCCCTGATCAGCCCTGCTCTGTGCATGACAGGGGGGAGCTCCCCAACCCCCTGATTGACCCTGCTCTGTGCGTGACAGGGGTTGGCGCCCCAACCTTCCCATTGACCCTGCCTTGTGTGTGACAGGGTGCGGTGCCCCAACCCCCCAATCGGCCCTACCCTGAGCGTGACTGAGGGTGGCATCGCAACCTCCCAATCTGCCCTGCTCTGTGCATGGCAGGGGAAGGCGCCCCAACTCCCCAATCGGCCCTGCTCTGAGCCCGACCAGGGGCTGCACCTAGGGATTGGGCCTGCCCTCTGCCACCCGGGAGCAGGCCTAAGACAGCAGGTTGTTATCTCCCGAGGGGTCCCAGACTGCAAGAGGGCACAGGCCAGTCTGAGGGACCCCCCTTTCCCCCGAGTGCACAAATTTTTGTGCACCGGGCCTATAGTATATATATAAAGAGCCAAGGGCCATCGCAACCGAATGGACGACTGAACAGGCTGATTGGGGCAACCAGGCTGGCATGGGGGGTTAAGTGAGGGACGACCAAATGACTGAGCAGCAGGCTGCATGGGGCGACCAGGCCAGCAGGGGGGTTAGTGAGGGCAACCAGGCTGGCAAGGGGGTAGTTGGGGGTGACCAGGCCGGCGGGGGAGGGGCAGTTGGGGGTGACTAGGCCAGCAGATGGGGGCTGTTGGAGGTGACCAGGCCAGCAGGTGGGGGGTGACTAGGCCAGCAGATGGGGGCTGTTGGAAGCGACCAGGCCAGCAGGTGGGGCAGTAAGGGGCGACCATGCTGGTGGGGGGAGGGGGGGCAGTTAGGGGCTACCAGGCTGGTGGGGGATGCAGTTGGGGGCAACCAGGCTGGCAGGCAGAGGCTGTTAGGGGTGATCAGGCTGGCAGGGTGATCAGGCAGGCGGGCATGTGAGCAGTTAGGAGCCAGTGGTCCCGGATTGTGAGAGGGATGTCCGACTGCTGGTTCAGGCCTAAACCGGCAGCCGGACATCCCCTAAAGGGTTCCGGATTGGAGAAGGTGCAGGCTGGGCTGAGGGAACCCCCCCAACCCCCAACCCCCGTGCACGAATTTCATGCAACGGGCCTCTAGTTAATATATAAACAAAGGGATAGTCTCAAAACTGTCAGTGTTATGCCCTAGCTGGTTTTGCTCACGAACTAATTCCCTTGTAGGCAGAAGAAGAGTTCAACATTGAGAAAGGTCGTCTTGTGCAAACCCAAAGACTGAAGATTATGGAATACTATGAGAAGAAAGAAAAGCAGATAGAGCAGCAGAAAAAAATGTAAGTAAATCCTGGTATCAGTATAAAACTAAAGAAGTTTTACAAAGATAGTGGGACAAGAGGACAGAGCAGATGCTTCAAAGTCAAGCAAGTATGGGTTCATGCCTTAAATGGATTAGTTACTACATATCTGACCTTGGGCAAGTTGCTTAACTTTTCTTTGCTCATTTGTGATAATGGAATTCTCCTAGAATTACTGAAAGATTAAACTGGAATAACAGATACGAAATTGCTTGCCACTTGGTAAGTACTTAATAAATATTTCTTTATCTTTGAAAATATGTTTGTAGAGGAGAAACAAGATGGCAGCGTAGGTAAACACCTGTGCTTGCAGCCTCCCATAACCACATCAAAATTACAACTAAGCTGTACCTGCTTTGGCTGAGTGGAAAGAGCATCACCCTGCGGACTGAAGGTTCCCGGGTTCAAGTCCAGTCAAAGGCGCATGCCTGCGTTGCAGGCTCAATCCCAGTAAGGGCTGTGTAGGAGGCAGCTGATCAATGATTCTCTCTCATCATTGACGTTTCTATCTCTCTCTCCCTCTCCCTTCCATTCTGAAATCAATAAAAAAAAATATTACAATTAAAATACAGAGCAACCATCATTCAGAACTGCCTAAAATCGGGCTGATCGCAAGTCCTATAACTAGAAAAGTAAAAAAGAAAGCACATTGAGACTGGTAGGAGGGGCAGAGGTCCAGAACAGGCTGATCCGACGCCCACATGTGCCATAATTTTAATCAGGAGGCAGATTGTCTCTGTGGAGACAGCCTGTCAGGAGCAAGGGGTTCCAGCCCCACAGAGTCCCCTAGCCCAGGTTTCAAGAGGTGGGAAGAGAAGTCCCCGCAACTGCGGGCTGTAAAACCAGTGGGGGTTGTGGCTGAATAAGAAGGAGGCTGCTGGAGACCCAAGTTTTCCTTTTAAATTGCCCACTCAACAAAACCAAGAGCTGGTTCTTTGAAAGGATAAACAAGGTTGATGAACCTCTAACCAGGCTCACCAAGAAACAAAGAGAGAGGATCCAAATAAAATCAGAAATGAAAGAGGAGAAATAACAACAGACCCCACAGAAATACAAAGGATTGTTAAAAAATACTATGAACAACTCTACTCCAACAAACTAGACAACCTGGAGGAAATGGACATATTCCTAGAAAAATACAACCTTCCAAAACTCAATCAGGAAGAATCTAAAAATCTCAGTAGGCCAATAACTATGGAAGAAATTGAAGCAGTCATCTAAAAGCTTCCAGCAAACAAAAGCCCAGGGCCAGGCAGCTTCACGGGGGAGTTTTACCAAACATTCAAGAAAGAACTAAAACCTATCCTCCTCAGACTATTCCAAAAAAATTCCAGAGGAAGGAACACTTCCCAGCTCATGCTATGAAGCCAGAATCACCCTAATACCAAAACCAGATAAAGACAACACAATGAAAGAGAATTACAGGCCAATATCCCTCATGAACATAGATGCCAAAATCCTCAACAAAATTCTAGGGAATCGGATCCAGCAGTACATCAGAAAGATCATACACCATGAACAAGTAGGATTTATCTCAGGGATGCAAGGATGGTACAATATCCGCAAATCAATAAACATAATACATCACATAAACAAATTGAGAGAGAAAAACCACATTGTCATATCAATTGATGCAGAATAAGCATTTGACAAAATCGAAAACACCCATTTTTGATAAAAACTCTCAGCAAGGTGGGAATAGAAGGATCATACCTCAACATAATAAAACCATATATGACAAACCCCAGCCAACATCATAATCATTTGCAAAAACTAAAACCATTTCCCCTAATAATAGGAACAAGATAGGGATGCCCACTCTCACCACTCCTGTTCAACATAGCACTGGAAGTACTAGCCGTTGCAATCAGACAAGAAGAAGAAATAAAAGGCATCCAAATTGGAAAAGAAGAAGTAAAACTATCCTTATTTGCAGATGATGTGATACTGTACATAGAGAATCCTAAAGACTCCATCAAAAAATTATTAGACTTAATGAATGAATTCAGCAATGTAGCAGGATACAAAATTAATGCCAAGAAATCCATGGCATTTCTATACACCAATAGTGAACTTACAGAAAGTGAGACTAAAAAAGCAATCCCATTTACCATCCCACCAAAAAAGTTAAGATACCTAGGAATAAATTTATCTAAGGAGGTAAAAGACCTATATGCAGAAAACTACAGGACACTGAAAAAAGAGATAGAGGAAGGCATAAACAGATGGAAGAACATACTGTATTCATGGATTGGTAGAATCAACATCATCAAGATGTCCATATTACCCAAAGCAATCTATAGATTCAGTGCAATCCCCATTAAATTACCAATGGCATACTTCACACATCTAGAACAAACGTTCCAAAAATTCATCTGGAATAAAAAAAAGATCTCGAATAGCTGCAGCAATCCTGAGAGAGAAGAACAAAGTAGGTGGGATCTCAATACCAGATATCAAGCTGTATTACAAAGCTGCTGTTCTTAAAACAGTGTGGTACCGGCACAAGAACAAACATATAGATCAATGGAATAGAATAGAGAACCCAGAAATCGACCCAAACCACTATGCCCAATTAATATTTGACAAAGGAGGCAAGAGCATACAATGGAGTCAAGACAGTCTCTTCAATTAATGGTGTTGGGAAAATTGGACAGATACATGCAAAAAGATGAAACTAGACCACCAACTCACACCATACACATAAATAAACTCAAAATGGATAAAAGACTTAAACGTAAGACGGGAAACAATAAAAAAATTCTAGAGGAATCCACAGGTAGCGAAATCGCAAACATATGCCAAAGCAATTCCTTCTCTGATACTGCTCCTAAGGCAATGGAAACTAAAGAGAAACTAAACAAGTGGGGACTGCCCCTGTGAGGCTGAGACGGCCCCTGGGAGGCCAAGACGGTCCCTGGGAGGCCAAGACGACCCCTGGGAGGCTGAGACGGTCCCTGTGAGACTGAACACAGGGACACGTCGCGGATGGAAATAGTTACATTTTCCATATGTATGACCCGGCAAGAAAAACATACACCTATGGATGAGGACAGTGGGGGGTAAGGGCAGAGGGTGGGGTGGGAACTGGGTGGAGGGGAGCTCCGGGGGGGGGGAAAGGTGGAACAACTGTAATAGTCTGAACAATAAAGATTTATTTAAAAAAATAAACAAATGGGACTACATCAAAATAAAAAGCTTTTGTACAGCAAAGAAAACCATCAACAAAACAACAAGAAGGCCCACTGCATGGGAGAACATATTTGCCAATGATATCACCAATAAGGGTTTAATCTCCAACATCTACAGGGAACTCAGGCAACTTAACAATAGGAAGATAAACAATCCAATCAAAAAATGGGCCATGGACCTAGATAGACACTTTTCGAAAGAGGACATACAGAAGGCCGAAAGACATATGAAAACATGCTCAAAGTCACTAATTATACGAGAGATGCAAATCAAAACAACAATGCAGTATCATCTCACACCTGCCACAATGGCTGTCATCAACAAATCAACAAACAACAAGTGTTGGAGAGGATGTAGAGAAAAAGGAACCTTCTGCACTGCTGGTGGGAATGCAGACTCATGCAGCCACTGTGGAGAACAGTATGGAGTTTCCTCAAAAAACTAAAAATGGAACTCCGATATCCCAAGAAACCAGAAACACCAATCAGAAAGGATATATGCACCCCTATGTTCATAGCAGCACAATTTACCATAGCTAAGATTTGGAAACAGCCTAAGTGCCCATCAGCCGATGAGTGGATTAAAAAACTGTGGTACATCTACACAATGGAATACTATGCTTCGGTAAAAAAGAAGGAACTCTTGCCATTTGCAACAGCATGGATAGAACTGGAGAGCATTATGCTAAGTGAAATTAGCCAGTCAGAGAAAGATAAACACCACATGATCTCACTCATTTGTGGAATATAGGGAACAACATAGACTGATGAACAGGGACAGATCCAAAGACAGAGAAACAGCAATTAGACTATCAATCCCCAGAGGGAAAGTAGGGGAGGTTGGGGGTAAGGGGAAGAGATCAACCAAAGGACTTGTATGCATGCATATAAGCCAAACCAATGGACATGGACAACAGAGGGATGAGAACGTGAGGGGGCGGGGCGGTTGGGCGTTAATGGGGGAGGGGGGGGTAAGGACACATTTGTAATACCTTAACCAATAAAGAAATTAAAGATAAAAAAAATTGCCCAGGCACAATCTTACATGGTTCCACTTCCTCCAAGCTCCAGTCCTGGGGAACCCAGGCACATATGGGGAGGAACTGGATTGTCTGGCATGGGGGCAGGAACTTGGGGTCGGTTTTCTCCCAGTTGGGGTACTTACAAGGGACATTGTTCCAGTGCTGGGACCTCCCCTATCTCAGGGCTGACTAGCAGCCATATCTGAGTCTCCCTCAGCCTGGAGTAAACTTTGTTCCACCCTGAAGATTCCCTGAGACTCTGCCCCATCAAGTTTGTAGCCCCACCCAAGCTGTTTGCAGTTGCTTTTCCATATGAATGGCCTGTCCTGGCTCAGGCTTCAAATCTTGTTAAAAATCTGTCAAACAAGCTGAAGGTGTTAACAGCATGCCCCCAAACCTATCAGTAAAAGGCCCAAGACCCAGCACTAGCTTCAGCCTGCCTTGCTTCACAGGCCCAATACAAGTAGCAGTCATCTGCAGACCTCTCTGTAGTTCCTGCTGGGTGACTCCAGTGGCTGACTTTGCACCTCCCTGGAAGCCCCAGAGCCAATGCACCCATTTGACAGCCTCAGACCACACCATATTACAACTCTACACATCCACAAGTAACACACTCAAGAAGCAGACTCAGTGAGCACCAAAACCTCCCTTAAGTAAGTCCTGCTCCATAGGGGTGTCTCCTGCATAGCAGCTCTCCCACTGTAGTCGCAGCTGGTCCTTATAGCCAATTGGCCTGGAGGTCAACTCCTCCCAGTGACACCAACAGCAATCAAAGCTCAACTCCAATAAGACTGCACACAGCCCACACAGGGTCCCTAGAGTGCCATATCAGGTGACCGGGGAGACTGAGCCATTGGGTCCTACAGGATACCTACTATACAAGGCCACTTTACCAATTCTAGGAGACATAGCAGCTCTACCTAATACATAAAAAGAAACACAGGGAAGCAGCCAAAATGGGGAGACAAAGAAGCATGTCACAATTGAAAGAAATGGAAGTGAGAAAACTGCTGAATACAGAAATCAAAACCATGTTATAAGCTTTTTCAAGGATCTTCATGAAACTTTCAAGGATCTTAGTGAGAATGTCAAAGACATGAAAAAGGACCAGTCAGAAGTTAAGCATACACTAACTGAAATAAAGAATAATTTACAAGGTTTCAACAGTAGAGTAGAGGATTCTGAGAATCAAATCAAGGATTTGGAACATGAGGAAGCGAAAAACACCCAATTAGAAGAGCAAAAACAAGTCCAAAAACATGAATATAGTGTAAGGAGCTTCTGAAACAACTTCAAGCCTACCAACATTTGCGTTATGGGGGTGTCAGAAGGAGATGAGAGAGAGCAAGATACTGAAAACCTATTTGAAGAAATAATGACAGAACACTTCCCCTACCTGGTAAAAGAAATAGACTTACAAGTTTAGGAACCTCAGAGAGTCCCAAACAAGAGGAACCCAACGAGGCCCACACCAAAATACATCGTAATTAAAATGCCAAGGCTTAAGGACAGATAGAATCTTAAAAGCAGCACGAGATAAGCAGTTAGTTATCTACAAAGGAGCACCCATAGTACTGTTAGCTGACTTCTCAACAGAAACTTTGCAGGCCAGAAGGGAGTGGCAAGAAATACTGAAAGTGATGAATAGTAAGTACCTACAACCAAGATTACTCAGCAAACTCTCATTTAGAATTGAGGGTCAGATAAAAACTTCACAAACCAGAAAAAAAGTAAAGTAGTTCACCACCACCAAACCATTATTACATGAAATGTTGAAGGGTATTCTGTAAGAATAGGAAGGAGAAGGAGAAAGAGATAAAATATATCAACAGTAAAAGGCAACAGACACATATCTATCAACAATTGAATATAACAATCAAAATAACCAACCATAAACCTAATGAACAAAATAAACTGGTGAATAAAATTGAGTCGGCATAGAAACATGGAATAAATTGACAAATCTCAGAGGGAAGTGGGTGGGAGCGGTGAGAAGAGATTAACCAAATGTCTTACCTATCGACACAGACAGTAGGGTGGTTTAGGCCTGGGGTGGGCCAGAAACTGGGTGGAGGGGATGAATGGGAGTAAAAAGGGTGACCTCTGTAATATTCTCAAAATGAAGATTTAAAAGAAAAAAATAAGTTGGTAGAAATAATTAAGTGAATTTTAGTGGACTTCTCAATGGTTTTTGTTTTTTATACTGTACTGATACTATTTTTTTCTATCTTTTGCAGTCAGATGTCCAATATGATGAATCAAGCAAGACTCAAAGTCCTCAGAGCGAGAGATGATCTTGTTACAGTGAGTAATTAGTCTCTATTAGTTATGAAATTATATTTATTTGCCTATTAATAGAGAACTCACTAGTTAACATTAGCTAATTAAAGAGTTGAACTAGTGGCCCCATGCACGGATTTGTGCACATTGAAAGGAAAATAATTAGGAAAAATATTTTAATACTGCTATTTGCCCTTTCTCCATCAGCCCCTTGGAGCCAGGTGGCGGCCCCGTCACCCGCCACTGCCACTGGTCGCTGTCTGCGGGGCAATTGGTGGGGCGATAGGGCTCCCACCTGGCTCCCTCAGTGTCTGGGAGCCAGGCAGTGGCCCCACCCCTTGCCTCCACCACTGGTTGCCATCTGCGGGGCTATCGGGGGCCCCCTCCCACACCCACCTTTGCCTGGCGCTGCCCACCCATCTGCTCCACCATCCCGCTGTGGTCCCACTCTTGTTGGGGCCCATTGGGGAAGGCAGTGCCTCCACTGCCGCCCGCTACCAGTGCTGCGTCCCTGACGCTTGCCATGTTCCACATCGCTCCCTGTAGTCAGCACACGTCATAGCGAGCGGTCGAACTCCTGGTCAAATGACCGCCAGAGGGGACAATTTGCATATTAGGCTTTTATTATATTTAGGATGATTTTGAGAGTGAGAGAACATAAGTATAAAAATGAATAAGATATATTCCTGTCTTAAAGAACCCTCTAATCTAACAGAACTCATAGACCCTTCTGGATCATACAGCATGTCATGGATTGACAACATATATGAGGGTGATAGGCACTATGGAGTTTAGAAATGTAGGCTAGAGTTAATATAAGGCATAAGTACAGGTTAAAGAGGTTCGCCTACTTTCAATAGAAAGCTTCATTGAAGTTTTTATTTTATTTTATGGGGACTATCATAAATAAGGTCCATGTATGAGTGTATAGGCTAAGTTTAACAGGGAAAAGGTTAAACACAAGAAAACTATTTGGGCCCTAACCGGTTTGGCTCAGTGGATAGAGCATCGGCCTGCGGACTGAAGGGTGCCAGGTTAGATTCTGGTCAAGGGCTTGTACCTTGGTTGCAGGCACATCCCCAGTAGGGGGTGTGCAGGAGGCAGCTGATGGATGTTTCTCTCATCGATGTTTCTTACTCATTATCCCTCTCCCTTCTCTGTAAAAAATCAATAAAATATATTTAAAAAAAAAAAAGAAAAAGAAAACCATTTGGGAAGTACTGTTGTCCTAGGAAGAGGACGGAAAACCTCCAGAAACATGCCATTTAGTTGGGAAAGCCTAGAGGTATTAGAATTGTATTCAGGAACTAAACAAGGATGCCTGCTGATATTCCACTGTTATTCATTGTTATTTTAGAGGACCTAGATTCCTTATAAAGTGGAGAAATAAGTTATATAAATATTGGAAAGGAAGAAACAATTATTTTTGCACATATAATCTATACAGAAAAAAAACAGTAAGAACTGGTAATTCTTTCAAAAGATGACTGGTTACACAGAGAACTTACAGGAATTGAGTTTTTCTCTATGCAAACAATAACCAATTAGTGAGTAAAATAAAAAGTAAATCTCTTTATAATAGCTACAAAAATTATTTAATTTGGGGGAATAAATTTAAGTGAATAAGACCTATATGAAAAAGCTATAAAACTTGAGTAAATGGAAAACATACCATTTTTTTTGAATAATTAAAGAAACAAACTGATTTCATAAGATGTGGTTTATATTAGATTAATCTGGCACGGTGTCAGTGTTGACACATTTTATTGGAAGGCATTCCAGATGTTGATTACTGATTGATTCCTCCTCTTCCACGTTCAACACCAAATACTGAATTTCAGGCCTCGCTACCTAGGAGAATGGTCGTTTCACTAACAAAAATGGGAAGTTAAAAGGACAAGCTGTTTTAAGAAAAATAATCAGCCCACCTGGCTAGTTTGGCTCAGTGGTTGATGTCAACTCAGGAACCAAGAGATTGTGGTTCCATTCCCAGTCAGGGGACATGCCTGATTTTGAACTTGATCCCCAGAAGGGGGTGTGCAGAAGGCAGCTGATTGATAATGTTCCCTCACATTGATGTTTCTAATTCCCTCTCCCTTCCTCTAAAATCAATACAATTATATTTTAATAATATTTTGGGGTTTTTTTCTAATTTTAAAATACTAATTTAAGTTTTTATTGGAAACTGCTTTAAATCCTTTAAAATACATAAATAACTACTAGTTTGGCTTTATAAGGAAATTTTAGTTGTCATGGATATAGCATGATACCTAAAGTTCAGATCAGTCATTTATTTATCAAACTAGAGGTCCAGTGCACGAATCGTGCACCAGTGGGGTCCCTTCGCCTGGCCTGTGGGATTGGGTGGAAACCAGCTCTCCGACATCCCCTGAGGGGTCCCAGATTGTGAGAGTGCAGGCCAAGGTAAGGGACCCCACCGGTGCACAATCAGGGCTGGGGAGGGATGTGGGAGGTTGGCCAGCCAGGGAGGGACCACAGGAGGGCTCCAGGGCATGTCCAGCCCATCTCGCTCAGTCCCGATGGGCCAGACCCCAACAGCAAGCTAACCTGCCAGTTGGAGCATCTGCCCTCTGGTGGTCAGTGCATGTCATAGCAAGCAGTTGAGCGGTCTTAGCATATCATTAGCTTATTACGCTTTGATTGGTTGAACAGACGACTGGACAACCGGACACTTAGCATATTAGGCTTTTATTTTATAGGACAGCAGTTCTCAACCTGTGGGTTGCGACCCATTTGGGGGTCGAACGACCCTTTCACAGGGGCCACCTAAGACCATTGCAAAACATAATTACATATTGTTTTTGTGATTAATCACTATGCTTTAATTATGTCCAATTTGTAACAATGAAAATACATCCTGCAAACAACAACAACAAAAAATCACAGACACTCCAGAGAACTGGGATCTTAAGCCAGCCAAAGGAATGACATTTCAATTTTTCATTTTTATTTTTTTATTATTATTTTGTTAGCTTTTTTTTTTTTTTTGCTTTTTGCTTTGTTCTCCTTATTTTTGTTTGTTCCTTTATTTCCTACTTCTTTTCACATTATTCCTTTAACCACATGAGAAGCAGACACGTGAGCGGCATACTCTTGTCCAGGGAGCATCAGCCCCGTGAGCAGCCTGCCTTGAGCCTAAGAGCAGCAGCCTCACGTGGCCTTCCCCTGTCCAAGGAGCAGCAGCTGTGTGAGCGACCCGATTCCCCGTCCGAGGAGGAGCAACCATGCGAGCAGTCCGACCTGTCTGAGGAGCGGCAGCCATGTGCAGCCTGCCCCCATCCGAGGAGAAGCAGCTGCACATACCCTGCACTAGTCCGAGGAGCAGCAGCTGCACAAGCATCTTGCCCTCGTCCAAGCAGCAGCAGCCGCACGAGGAGCCTGCCAAATCTGAGGAGCAGCAGTTCTGCGAGCGGCCCGGCCCCATTCGAGGAGCAGCAGCAGCCCACCCTGGTCCGAGGAGCAGCAGCCACACGAGCAGACTGCCCACGTCCAAGAAGCAGCAGCCCTGCAGAGGACGCACCGGTCCGAGGAGCAGAGCCACAACAGCCTGCACCTGTCCAACAAACAGCAGCCGGGTGAGTGTCACGCCCTCGTCTGAGGAGGAGCAGCCATGCGTGCAGCTCACTCTCGTCCAAAGAGCAGCAGCCTCGCAAGCAGCCCAACCCCAGCCGAGGAGCAACAGACTTGCAATCAACCTGTCCAAGTCCTAGGAGCAGTAGCCCCACAAGCAGCCCACCACATCAGAGGAACAACAGCAGCGTGCAGCCAGCCCCCATTCAAGGATCAGCAGCCACGTGAGCAGTCTGCCCCAGTTCAAGGAGTAGCAGCTACATGTGTAGCCCCCCCCATCCAAGGAACAGCAGTCTCGTGATCAGCACACCCTCTGTCTGAGGAACAGCAGCTGTGTGTGAAGCTTCCCCGCACCAGTCAGAGGAGCTGCCATGGTGGTGAACAGCACCCACCAGAGGAGCTGCTGCCAACTGAGGAGCAGCTGATACCACAACTGCCCGAGGAGCAACCACAGCCCAAGAAGCCGCTGCCACCCAAGGAGCAGCCCCTAAATGACTCAACATCTAGATATGTCAGTGAGATCAAACATGGGTAGACAAAGAAACCCCCAAAGGAAAGAAAAGGAGGACTCGTCAGAAAAGTGGCTAAGTGAAACAGAGGCATTCAGCATGACAGAAAAAGAATTCAGATTAAGGGTCCTAGAATGCATAAACCGGATGGAGGAAAAAATCAACAACTTATGTAAGAATCAAAAAGAAACGAATGAAAAAATCAAAAAATTATGTAAGAACCAAGAATAAATGAAGAGTGATATAGCTGCAATAAAAAACACCATTGAAAGTTTTAACAGTAGAGTAGGAGAAGTGGAGGACCGAATTAGCAAATTAGAAGACAGGGAAGCAAAACACACCCAAACTGAACTGCAATTGGAGAAAAAAATTAAAAGACAGGAGGAGAGCCTAAGGGAGCTATGGGACAACATGAAACGAAACATACGATTAATAGGGGTGCCAGAACAACAGAAAGAGGAACAAGGGTTAGAAAACCTATTTGAAGAAATAATATCAGAAAACTTCCCTGAGGTGGGGAAGAAAAAAGTCACACAAGCACAGAGAGTCCCAAACAAGGTGAACTCGAAAAGACCCACACCAAGACACATCATAATTACCATGGCAAATGTTCAGGACAAAGAGAGAATCTTAAAGGCTGCAAGAGAGAGACGGAAAGTTACATACAATACAAGGAATCTCCCATTAGATTATCAAATGATTTCTCAACAGAAACACATCAGGCCAGAAAAGAATGGACGGAAATTTAGAAAGTGATGGAAAGCAAAGGACTGAATCCAAGAATACTCTATCCAGCAAGGCTATCATTCAAACTTGAAGGGGAAATAAGAAGCTTCACAGACAAAAAAAGGCTAAGGGAGTTTATCACCACCAAGCCAGCAATGCAAGAAATGCTAAAGAGACTGGTGTAAAAAGAAGAAATAA